GCTCTGCTGAGAGGGACTTGGGGGTACTGATAGACGAAAGGCTGGACATGAGCCGGCAATGTGCGCTGGCAGCCCAGAGGGCCAACCGTGTCCTGGGCCACATCATCTCAGTTGCTTTACATTTCCATAACTATCTAGAAGATTTTTCTGGGTTTTTTTTTTTCATTTGTTTGCCCATTTAATTTTGCCTTTGGTATTTATGTTTAATTATGTATGAACTTTCATTTGCCAAATCCCTGCTGATTTTTAATGTGTATAGTTTTCACTAGACCTGTAAATATCAATTTTTCTTTGTAACAACCTTCCTTTCACCTGAGCCCTGTTAATAAGTTGAGTATTTAAGTTCACGTGGCTTACTAGTGTAATCATTGGTGATGCAGGTGACAGCCCTTTTGTCTTCCTGTAGTTAAATGTATTTCCTGTAGAAGCTTGGAGTTCGTTTTAAGATTATTGAATGTATTGCACAGGAGCTTGTAATTATTTTTGCATTCTCAGCTGGAATATATTTATAATTATCTAATGCTGTTAGGTCTGTATGGTAAGTTTTATATCCTTCCTTTATTTGTTTTCCTTGTAGTACTCAGCAAGGCTTTTGACACTGTCTCCCATAACAGCCTCCTATGGAAGCTCAGCAAGTGTGGTCTGGATGAGTGGTCAGTGAGGTGGATTGAGAACTGGCTGAATGGCAGAACTCAGAGGGTTGTCATCAGCAGCGCTGAGTCTAGTTGGAGGCTGGTAACTAGTGGTGCCCCCAGGGGTCAGTACTGGGCCCAGTCTTGTGCAACTTCTTCATCAACGACCTGGATGAAGAGTTAGAATGTACCCTCAGCAAGTTTGCTGATGAGACAAAACTGGGAGGAGTGGTGGATACACCAGCAGGCTGTGCTGCCATTCAGCGAGACCTGGACAGGCTGGAAAGTTGGGCAGAGAGGAACCTGATGAGGTTCAACAAGTGCAAGTGCAGGGTCCTGCAGCTGGGGAGGAACAACCCCATTCATCAGTACAGGCTTGGGGTGGACCTGCTGCAGAGCAGCTCTGTGGAGAGGGACCTGGGTGTCCTGGTGGACAACAGGTTGACCATGAGCCAGCAGTGTGCCCTGGCTGCCAAGAAAGCCAATGGGATCCTGGGGTGCATTAGGAGGAGTGTGGCCAGCAGGTCGAGGGAGGTTCTTCTTCCCCTCTACTCTGCCCTAGTGAGGCCCCATGTGGAGTACTCTGTCCAGTTCTGGGCTCCCCACTGCAAGAAAGATGAGGAGCTACTGGAGAGTATCCAGCGGAGGGCCGCGAGGATGATGAGGGGACTGAAACTTCTCTCCAACGAGGGAAGGCTGAAGGAGCTGGGCTTGTTTAGTCTGAGGAAGAGAAGGCTGTGAGGGGACCTAATAGATGCTTCTAAATATCTGAATGGTGGGTGTCAGGAGGATGTGGCCAAACTCTTTTCAGTGGTGCCCAGTGACAGGACAAGGGGCAGCAGGCACAAACTGAGTTGCTCTGCTTTGGCAGGGGGGTTGGACTAGATGAGCCACAGAGGTCCCTTCCAACCCCGAACATTTTGAGATTCTGTGATTCTGTGATACTCCATTCTTGCAGGACAATGTAGAGGCTGTGAAATAATCTTGCAGTTTTCTTTGACTTTCCATCCCATATCAAGGGAATCAGGTTCATTCCACTTCATCCAAAGATGAGTTTCACATGCTCTTAAATGATTAACATAAATATACTTTAATATTTTGAGTAATACTCAAAGGTACTTAAACACCAACCTCTTGTTTCAGAACTGCGACCTATTAATGTGTTGGAGGTAAGTTTAGGTGTTCTCTGTGTGATCTGGTTGCTGCATAGTTTAATGAGCTTTCCCTTCTGTGTGGCTCCATATGTGATTTTCATGTGTAAGTAACTGAATTTTCGTGCCAAATTCCAGTGGATCTGAAAGAAAAGTAAAATGCTAAATTTTAATTAGCTGAAATCTGGGTTAAGTATAAAAAAAATTTTAAGAAATTTTTTTAGAAACAAAGTTGTTAGTCTCAGAGTTTTGGTTCTTCCTCTTGTACAGGTAAAGCAAACATATAAAAATAGCATCTCTATCTGCTAACTGTTTGGTGGCTCCTTTGGGAAATATTGTTTCACTGTATTGGAGTGCTGACTTGGATGTTTTATTATGCTTGGTAGTACGATAAGTAAGCTGGTGTTATATGGTGTATATAATGATTAACCTGTGGTAGCTCCAGAATGTGTACCTGCTGACTTGCTTTTGATGCCAAGGGCTCAAAACTCTCCCACTGCTCATTTGTAAATGCCGTTGAACTTGAAAAGTGTTTGACTTGCATGCTACCACTGTTACGTGATTTAGTTCAGTGAACAAAGTAAGATTATACTAAAAACATTCTTGATCATTTTAGAGACTTGTGTCATGTTGATTGCTTAGTTGTAGTCCTTGTTGTGTGAAGAGCTTTGAAACATCTTAAAAAGTTAAGAACAAGTACATGATCTACTACCCTTTATAAACTGCTCCAGAACAAATTCTTTTATGTATTGTTACATTTGGAGCTTGTCTAAGCCAAAATAAGAGGCTTGCAGTCCAAAGCATGTGGACTTTGCACAATTTTTTTGTAATAATTTTGGTTTTAGATAATCCAGAGCACTTGATAAAGAAGTTATATCCTCCTAATTTCCTAGTTCAGCAACTGTAATTTCTGTAAGAAGAATTGCAAGCTTTCCATAATGGATGTTCCAAGGAGGTATTAATACTCATGCACTATACCTCCTGCATGCAGTTACCCCCCTTTCTCCAGCCTGCAAGGAGGAACGCTGCTGAAGTCCCAAACAGTCCAAACCCCATGCAAAACAAATGCTGGCTGGGCAGGTAACAACTGCTCCGGAGTGAATGCTTTGACAAGTTTGAGAAAGCATGCTGTTCCTTTAAAGGAAGGTATTTATTGAACTGAAGAGAATAAACTTCTTTTACACAAGTTTTTCAATGCTTAGGGATTTATTTTTTTATGACAGGAAATGTGACTGAAGGAATTTATATGTCTATATGAAATTTAGGTAGAACCGAGGTTCAGAAATCCAGTGCTGTAAAACTTTTCTGCTGGTGCTTAGGCCTGCTGTGCTGTTACTTTTTCACTTCACTAAGTCCCGGTAATTTGTAGCTTTTTACACCTGGAACTGCCCCAGACTTTGTTGAAAAACAACCCGAAACTTTTTCAGCAGGGAAGTCTCCACCACGCCTCACTGGCTTCTGAAAGGTTTGTCTGTTACATGAACTGTAACTACAGGTACCACCACCTGTTGCAATGTCTAAGAGGGTGGCATGGCAGAGGCCACGGACCAGCACCTGCAAGGCTGGACCAGCACTCTGAATAAAATGGACTGGGTCTGCTCAAACACTTTGGAGACTGGCAGCATGCTCCTAAAACCTCGGCTTCCTTGTCGCAAATTATCCTGCCACGTGTTCATACCACGATGGCTAAGTACAGCGAGGCTGGCAGCTGCGTTGGAGACAGCCTGGAAACAAGACGAGGAGCAGTGTGACCTGCAAGAAGTGTCACGTGGGGGGTGAATTTCTCTTTTCCTGCATCTAAACGGCTTATCACATTTTTCTGTGAATCCTTCTGCTCCATCGGGCACCATTAGTGCACGCACTGATCATCTGGGGTATTTTTAGAAAGCATGAATAGCGGCGGAGGCATGCTTTGAATTTTCCTTCTAGCAGCAGCAGACATGCCAGCAGCCTGCATCACATGGCTGCTTAAACAAGTATACATCTATTTTGGTAATATTTTCCCACCCAAACATAGCATCCGAGCGCCCGGTGGGGGCCGGCAAGCTCACCCCGAGGGCTACGTGCCGGAAACTTAACCCCTCAGAGCCTTCTCTCGCTTGCTTTAACTATCGTGGTGTTTAGTTCTGGGTCGTAAAGATAGGACAGAAATTTAAACCACCTCAACTTGACGGGGTGACATCTGTCATGGCGCGCCCGAGCCGTCCATCTGTGGAAACTAAAGGAGCATCAGGAAGAAAACCGACACACCCCCTCCCCCTTTACAACTTAACACCCAGACGTTTGTCCACGCGTGTCTTCCGCGGGTCTGGGGGGATTTTTAAGAATAAAACCGCTGAGGCATGCGGGAGCTGCTGCTTCCCCCTGCCCGGTCCGGTTCCCCGGGCTCGGCAGGCGCGGGCCGGCTGGACAGCTCTCCC